ATTGCGGAGCACAGGCTCTGGACGCGCAGGCTCAGCGGCCATGGCTCACGGGCCCAGCCGCTCCGCGGCATGTGGGATCTTCCTGGACCAGGGCACGAGCCCATGTCCCCTGCATCGGCAGGCAGACTTTCAACCACTGCGCCACCAGGGAAGCCCTCATTGTGGTTTTAATTTGCACTTCTCTGATGATTAATGATGTTTAGTATCTTTTCATGTGCCTGTTGGCCATCTGTATGTCTTCCCTGGAAAAGTGTCTATTTAGGTCTTCTGCCCATTTTTAAAATCAGATTGTTTGTTTTTTTGATGTTGAGTTGTATGAGCTGTTTACATATTTTGGATATTGACTCCTTATTGATCATATCATTAGCAAATAGTTTCTCCAATTCAGCTGGTTGTCTTTCTGTTTTATTGATAGTTTCCTTTGCTGTGCAAAAGCTTTGAAGTCTAACTAGGTCCCATTTGTTTATTTTTGCTTTTATTTCCTTTGCTTTAGAAGACAGATCCAAGAAAATATTGCTATGATTTATGTAAAATAGTGTTCTGTCTATGTTTTCCTCTAGGAGTTTCATGACCTCCAGTCTTTTATTTAAAAAAATTTTTTTAATAGCTTTGTTTTATTTATTTATTTATTTTTTGGCTGTGTTGGATCTTCCGTGGCTGTGCACGGGCTTTCTCTAGTTGCTGAGGGCTTCTCACTGCGGTGGCTTCTCTTGTTGCGGAACACAGGCTCCAGGCGCACGGGCTTCAGTAGTTGTGGCGCATGGGCTTAGCTGCTCTGCGGCATGTAGCATCTTCCCAGACCAGAGCTCGAACCCGTGTCCCCTGCATTGGCAGGCAGATTCTTAAGCACTGTGCCACCAGGGAAGCCCCTCCAGTCTTACATTTAGGTCTTTAATCCATTTTGAGCTTTTTTTTTTTTTTTTGGCTGCATCGGGTCTTAGTTGCAGCACGAGGGATCTTTGTTGAGGCATGCGGGATCTTTCATTGCGGTGCGCGGGCTTCTCTCTAGCTGTGTTGTGGGGGCTCCAGAGTGCGTGAGCTCTGTAGTTTGCAGCACGTGGGCTTAGTTACCCCTCAGCATGTGGGATCTTAGTTCCCTGACCAGGGATTGAACCCGTGTCCCCTGAATTAGAGGGCAGATTCTTTACCACTGGACCACCAGGGAAGTCCCAATTTTGGGTTTATTTTTGTATATGGTATGAGAAAATGTTCTAATTTCATTCTTTTTTAATTTTTATTTTTTTAAATAGATTTATTTATTTATTTTTGGCTGCATTGGGTCTTTATTGCTGCGCGCGGGCTTTTCTATAGTTGCGGCAAGCAGGAGCCACTCTTTGTTGTGGTGCGCGGGCTTCTCATTGTGGTGGCTTCTCTTGTTGCGGAGCACAGGCTCTAGGTGCACGGGCTCAGTAGTTGTGGCACACAGGCTTAGCTGCTCTGCAGCATGTGGGATCTTCCTGGACCAGGGCTCGAACCCATGTCCCCTGCATTGGCAGACATATTCTCAACAACTGTGCCACAAGCGAAGCCCTAATTTTATTCTTTTACATGTAGCTGTCCAGTTTTCCCAACAGTACTTATTGAAGAGATTGTCCTTTCTCCATTGTATATTCTTGCCTTCTTTGTCATAAATTAATTGACCATAAGCATGTGGGTTTATTTCTGGGCTCTCTATTCTGTTCCATTGATCTATGTGTCTGTTTTTATGCCAATACCATGCTGTTTTGATTATTGTAGCTTTGTAGTAGTTCACAACATTTTCTGATTCTGGTTTTGGGTGGTGATTTAGAAAGAGGGTCTCCCCAAATTCTCTGCCAAAGACTCATCTTCCCTAAGTTTAGTTCTTACCTTATTGGTCTTAGCAGGAAGCAGGGGAGAAAACTCAAAGCATTTGCCAGAAGAGGGTTTAATGAAGGAACTATTTACAGAGGCGTTGGCAGGAATGGTGAAGCACCCTGGGGCTCACAACAGTGGGATAGAGTCACTAGCCCCAGTGCCTGAAGGGGCAAGGGAGGGAGCCTTGTTAAGGAACCTGGCAGGAGTCGTGCCCTGGGGTTGCAGGCCACCCAACCGGAGCTGTGCCTTTCAGTGGGGGAACATAGTAACTGTCAAAATCACAGTATTATAAATATCCTGATCTCACTCTCCTCCTTCCCTCTGATCTCCTGGCAATGTCTCCTACTGGCCAAACTTTACCTGAAACCGTAAGGCAAGGGGGCCCAGGTGAGACTGTCAGTGGTAGTCAGCCCCAGGACACAGGGCAGGGCAGAGAAGCACAGAGAATGAAGGGTAGGCAAAGAGTAGCCAGCCCAGGGGCTTCTCCTCTCTTCATGGACTCGGCTTTGTGGAGGGGCTGGGAGACAGAGTGGCTGTGCTTGTCTCTCCAAGCAGTCTGTACCTGACGCCGGAACGCCCTTTCTCCTCTTCCAGGCCCACGTTACTTCGTCCGTGAGGTTGTCCCCAGTCCTGGAGTTAATCTCTCCCATTCTTGGCTTCCTTGGTTCTCAGTGCCTAGCCCATCACTCAGCTCAGTGATTTAGCATTATTCTCTGCAGGGGTTTGTCACCCCAGGGGACAGTTCTAGCATCCTCTACACTGTGAGCTCTTTGCAGGCAGGGCCCTGGGCCAAAGAAGGCCATTTGCTCTGACACAGGACCCAGCGCAGGCCAAGTGCCCATGCTTGCCAAGTGAACAGAGTCCTATGGCCTCACCCACCTCCCTCTGCCTTGGTGTACACAGCCTGGGCACATGTGTATGTCTGTTTCCCTGAGTACAAAGGGGTTCCTTGGTGACGAGTGGCCCAGGCCAGGCACACAGCAGGCATCAAATGTTGCCTGAATTGGCCTAGGGAGGACCATCCTCCTTTCCTTCATTCATTCAACAACTTTTTGAGATCCTACTATATGCCAGGCCCTGTGCTGGGCCCTGGGGACACAGAAGTGAACAAGACACACAAAGTCCCTGCCTTCATGGGGTTTCCATTCTAGTGGGGGAAGCAGAAAAGGAAGGAATGGAAAATGTACAATATTATTAAAGATTGCAGTAAGTGCTGTACAGAAAATAAACAAGATGATGAGACAAACAGTAAAAGGATGGATATTTATGTGGGAGAGGAGCACGTCAGGGAAGGTCTTTCTGAGGAGATCACATGTAAGCTGAGACCTGAAGAAGAGAGGACATGAAGAGCTGGAAGGGTGTTCTAGGGAGAGGGAACAGCAAAAACAAAGGACCGGAGGTGCTTCTGGGACCCTGGTGGATTCAGTGTTTCAGCCTAAAGAAGGGCTTAGGGGGAGTTTAAGAGCGGTTAAGGAATCAGTCTTGGGGGTGGCCCGGGGCCAGGTCCTGGGCTGAGGGTTGGAGGGGAAGGGACAGCCCTTCTTAATGCCACCCTTGCTGCCTGTTGCCTAGCACCACAGCAAATAGTGCTGCTGGCAGGCCCTGCCCTTGCTCCCTTGGCTCCCCTCTGACTGGCAGTGGCTGTCAAAGGACCAGCCCCGGAGGCTTTGCCAACCTCCTCCCCTGGGATATTTTAGAGGTAAGTCAGAAAATGACCAGCAGCCTCCAAAACTCGACTTTTTCTCATGCATACCTTACAAGGGTATATTTGGCTGCCCTGGGTGTTAATCTCCCACCCCCTTGCACTACACAGAGAGATATAAATATACGCCAAAGGCAGCACACTCAGAAACCTGGATTAAGGACCACATACTCAGGCCCCAGTGACACACAGAAGACACTCCACACAGCTGCTTATGAGCCCTCCCTCCCACACACTTCAGTCCCCAGTCTCCTGTAACTACACAATCACACACACAACTATACACACGCCCCACAACACAGTCACAACAGCCGGCCACACAGACACTCCACCACCAGCACAATCACCACACACACAATCACTCCCCCATGATTATACAGTCACATATCTGCGTGGGGTACATCCACACGGACAGGTACTCCACAGTCATCACAGAGTCACACGTTGACACACCATCACACAGCCTCCCCCTCCACACACACAACCACGTGGTGTTCACACAGCTGGCAGTGGGCACACAGATCACAACGCACAGCCCACAAGCGTTCCGCACGGCCGCCGCCCCCCCCCCCCCCCCCCCGCTTTACTCAAGGCCTCTCTGATTAAACACATCCAGCCCCTCTGCTGGTTACAGTGAACAGCATTCTTCTGCGATTGAGTCAAAGACCTCCCCAAACAGAGGGGCTAAGTGGAAAAAAGGCATCAGAAGGGAGAATGCCCGAGGCCCAGGTCTGGGAAGGGGCCTGGCAGCTCCTCGGTTAGGGAGACAGCCTTCAGTGTTGAGTTTGATCCTGACACTGGTGGCCTAAGGACTTGGGGGAGAGGGCACGCCTTGGAGTGGGCAGAAGCAGGGCGGGTGGGGGGTGACAGGTGGAGCAAGCGGAGAGACCCCTGGAAACCTCGCAGCGTGAGGGCGGAAAGCGGTGTTAAATATGGACTGAACCTTAGAGGCTTAAACCCTCCCACGCAGTCCTCCCACCGCCCTTCCCCAGGCTCCGGACTGTCCCCAAACGTACGGGGTGTAGTGTTACCCCCTCCTCCGCCAGACCTCGGCGACAGCTGCGGGGCACAGCGCTCAGGAGAGGGGGCATCGCAGGGCGCCGGGCGGCGGCTGACACCCCGAACTCCTGCGGGCGGCGGGCAGGGTGCGGGGTCCCTCGAGGTCCCCAACCCCACACCCTGCCCCCCTCCCGGGCCGGTCTGGCGGGGCAAGCGCTCTCCTGAGGCTGCGGAGCCACCTTCCTCCACTGCCCCCCCGCCCCGCCCAAACCGGGACCCTCGGAAGGGAAGGGTGGAGAGAAAGAAGGTTCGGGAAGACCTCAGGGGGATTGGTTTTGGAGACGCCGACCCCCCCCCATACCTCCCTCCACACCCTCCGCTTGTCGTGGGAGGGGCGGCATCTCCCCGCCCCCGGGCCTAGCGGCCCGCTCCCTCCTCCCGCGGCGGGAGCCTGGGCCAAGTGGGCGCGCCCGGCCCGGGGCCGGCGGGATCCGGTGTCGGCTGCAGCTGGCAGTGCGGCGGACGGGCGCGGGCTGCCCGGGGGGCCAGCTATTAATACCGCGGCCGCCCAGCCCGGGTCGCGCAGCCATGGCCAGCCCGGAGCCCCGGCGCGGCGGGGACGGCGCCGCCGAGGCCGCGAGGTAGGAAAGGACCGTCCCGGGGCCGCGTCGCCGCCCCCTGGGGAAGGGGTGCTGGACGGATCCCCACTCCCCGCGAGCGCCTTTCGCCGGGCGGGGGCGGGGGTCCAGCCTGGGTGGGGCACGGGGCGGAGCCACCCGCGAAGGGAGATCGGGGCGTCTCGTCCCGGCCTGCCATCTCCGGTTGTCTGGGACTTTTTATAATTACCCCTCCCCCTCCCACGGGCGGTGCGAGGATTAACCGCTTCACACTAGCGGGCACCAACCGTGAGATGCCTTTCGGCCCCCAGTGGCCAAAGACGCTACCCGTTTTCTTTCGTTGCTCACCCCAAATGCAGCTGGAGATGGAGGCCTCCAGTTGCTGAATTTGCCGTGTGGAAGAGACTTCGTGCAAGGTTGGGCGGCTGCCAGCTTGGAGTTGAGAGTGTTCAAGCAGCTGGTTCTCTCTGGTCTGGGGCTTGGGGTGGTGTTGGACGGGGCGGGGTTGGGGGGAGAGTCTACTGTCCCAGACCAGCAAGAGGGCCTTGGTTGGCAGGGGCCCTGGAGGGGAGGCCCTCTCCAACATTCAACGGTCAGCTCCACCACTGGTTAGCGGGGAGGGGACCTGTGGCTGAAGGATTTGGGGCGAGTAGGGAGCATTTCTGCCCCAGGTCAGCCTGTAGCCCTGGACTTCCTCTTGTACCAAGAGGTAGAGGTGCAAACACACACACACCTGACACCCCTCCCCTGTCACCAAGAACACAAAGCTGAGCCTTGTTTTACATGTGCACTCACCTGTACACACATAGGGGTACACACAGAGTCACACACCAACTCATGCCTGCACAGTATCACAAACACTCCCAGTCACATCCCTGATGGGTTGGGAGCTGATGGAATCCTCTAGGGACAGGGACAAAGTGGCAGAGAGGGAGGCTGCTTGGAGCCCAAGGAAACCTGAGGTCAGAGGCCCCAGTTAAGCTGGCCCCCTTGCCCCTAGGCCTCCCATAATCTACTTTTCCCCAGCTCCTTAGAGAGAGACAGCAGTGTGAGGGCAACACCTAGCAGAGGCCTGGCACTGTGGATGGGGTGACTGAGTGGTGTGTGGTAACAGCACTGCCTGCAAGTCAGGAGACCTGGAATCTACTTCCAGCTTTGCCACTCGACCTTGGGCAAGTTTCCTCCCTGGAGCTCAGTTGGTTGCTGCCTGCCTACCTTCTACAGAGCCCCACCCTGGGATATAGAGAGAATAACTGTACTTGTTGTTAGGAAATGGACTATCAGGGGAGGCAGATTCATGCTCTTCTGTAACACAAAGCACTTAGTTCAAAGATGAGCTGCCTACAAAGTGCCTTGAGAACACAAGAATGGGAGTTGTCTGGGAAATGCTTAACAGAGGAGGTGGAATTTGAGCAGGGTTTGAAGGATGAGTAGAAATTTGTTAGGTAAATAGATATAAATATATTTTGAATGCTAGGGCCGAGCTCTATACCTGCCGTAGTTGTTTTACCTCTTTCAGATCTTATGCCTGTTCTAAGATGAGAGTGGTAAAAAGGAGCTCCGGCTCTGGAGCCAGACTGCCGGCCTTCGCCAGGCTCCACCACGTACGAGTTGTAGAACTTTGAGTGAGTTCTTTACTCTGTGCTTTGGTTTCCTAATCTATAAAGTGGGGATAATGGATGAGCATCAGATAAATGAGTATTTATGGGAAACGCTTAGAATACTTCCTTGAACACAATTACGTTATTTCAGGGTGGAGTACTCAGCTGGAGCATGATGTGAGGGCCGTCTGCTGGCAAAGCAGGGACTCTGTTGAGGATCCGGGTGGGTCTGGCTAGCTGAGCAGGTGCATCCTTCCTGGCATTAGGAACTCTACTTTTCCAGGTAGTGTAGGACTGTTCTCTAGTCAGGTGGTATACAATGAACTGTATTTTCTCAGCTGGACCCTTTAGACATTGTGGGGTAGGAGTAGGAGGTAGAAAAGTTAACGCATGTTACGGGTTGTCAAGCATTGGGTGGGCTATGGGTAGTAATGTGAGATGAGGCTGAAGAGGTATGTTGAGGTCACATCTTTAAGGGCCTTAAATCTATGCTAAGCAGTTGGCTATATATGGTGAAGTGGAGCAAGATAGTTTGCTTTGTATTATAGCAAGCTGCAGCACTGTCAAGAACAGACTGGGATGAGACAGAAGAAGGCTTATGGGAAGGCTGGTACGAAAGTGCGGGTGAGGGATGATGACTTGGACGAGGGTCCTGGCAATGGGGTGAAGAGGGAGATAGAGACTTTCTGAGATAGAAACGTCAGTTCTTAGTGAGTTGGCTGTTTAAAGACCACTTGTCTATCAACAGAGGGATGGATAAAGAAGATGTGGTACATATATATAATGGAATATTACTCAGCCGTAAAAAAGAATGAAATAATGCCATTTGCAGCAAAATGGATGGACCTAGAGACTGTCATACTGAGTGAAGTTAAGTCAGACAGAGAAAGACAAATATCATATAATATCACTTATATGTGGAATCTAAAAAAAAAAAAAGGTACAGGGACTTCCCTCGTGGTCCAGTGGGTAAGACTCCACGCTCCCAATACAGGGGACCTGGGTTTGATCCCTGGTCAGGGAACTAGATCCCACATGCATGCTGCAACTAAGAAATCTGCATGCCACAACTAAAGATCCCATATTGCTGCAGCTAAGACCCAGCAAAATAAAGAATAAGAAGAAAGAAAGAAATATTTTAAAAAATGGTACAAATGAACTTATTTACAAAACAGAAATAGAGTCACAGATGTAAAACACAAACTTACGGTTACCAGGGGGGAAAGGGGAGGAAGAGATAAATTGGGAGATTGGGATTGACGTATACACAGTACTATATATACAATAGATAACTAATAAGGACTTACTGCACAGCACAGGGAACTCTACTCAATACTCTGTAATGACCTATATGGGAAAAGAATCTAGAAGATTAGAGTGGATACATGTATATGTATAACTGATTCACTTTGCTGTACAGCAGAAACTAACACAACATTGTAAATCAACTGTACTCCAATTAAAAAACAAAAAAAAGACTGCTTGTCTCATCAGCCTGGTGTATGGTGATATATTTCTCTGAGCTGGAAAATACAGGTGTAACAAGCTCAGGGAGAAGGATAATTTGGTGGAAGTTGAGTTTGAGGTGCCAAGTAACATCAGATGAAGATATCTAAAAAAGCACTCCAGGGCTTCCCTGGTGGCACAGTGGTTAAGAATCTGCCTGCCAATGCAGGGGACACGGGTTTGAGCCCTGGTCCGGGAAGATCCCACATGCCGCGGAGCAACTAAGCCTGTGCACCACAACTACTGAGCCTGTGCTCTAGAGCCTGCGAGCCACAACTACTGAAGGCTGCACACCTAGAGCCCGTGCTCCGCAACAAGAGAAGCCACCGCAATGAGAAGCCCATGTACCGCAGCGAAGAGTAGCCCACACTCGCCGCAACTAGAGAAAGCCCGCGCCCAGCAACAAAGACCCAACTCAGCCAAAAATAAATAAATACATGCATTTATAAAAAACAAAAAAAGCACTCCATCTCTGGTAAAGTGAAGTGAATGGACTAGGTGATTGTTGAGTTGTCATTAAGTTTTAGGTTTTGGTGCAGGTGCTGGGGTTGAATGAGGCCAGTGATGTTTGGGGCCTGATGAAGACACACTTTTGTGGTTTCCAGAGGGCCATCAGGAGATACAAAAGGGAAGCCAGGGATTCCTGGGGTGTAGAGAGGAGGACTGAGAAGACGATTTAGAATAAAAGTAATCTTTATTAGGAACTTGGAGCTGAGAAATAGAGCTGAAAACCTGGATACAAGTAAGCCTTTTCAAGACAAATCAAATTCTTTGTTTGATATGTGAGGCTTTTCATTTATACTTTATATCTTAAAAAAGAAAAGTTTATTGAAACCTACACTCAAATTTAGTCTGTTTTGTGAGTGGTGCACTCTAAGTATCTGAGTTTCCTTGAGCAAATTACTTAATCTCTTTGACCTCCATTTCCTGATCTGTAAAATGGGAATAATAAATGTAACCACCTCATAGAATTGTTATGAGGATTAAATGAATCGGTATATGTAAAACATTTAGAACAGGGCCTGGTGTATATAAGACCTTTAAAAGTATAATTTATTATTATTTCCATGGTATTTTATATTTTCAAAGAATTGCTCAGAGATCCAAGGCAGGTAAGATGCATTTGAAACAGGAAAGACCAAAGCCACTTGAGGGCCAAAGCACCAGGAGAGCATTCCTCCATAGGAACTGAGTAAGCTAGCAGGCAACGGGCAGCTGGGTTAAGGGGCTCATCTGTTAGAATCACAGAATCTGAATTCAAGAGCATTGACAGGCTAGAAGGATGGGCCAATTCCAACAAGATGAAGTTTTATAGGAACAAGAGATGTGGTTTAAAAGCACTTGGTGTGAAAAAGTCTTCAGGATTTTAGTCAAACTCAGCATTTATCCAGAATATGATGGAGCTGCCCTATATGCTAAGGGTGTCTTGACTGCAACAATAGGAGTATAGTGTCCAGAGAATCACTGCTCAGAGTACACCTGGGTATTGCTTCCTATACCCATCCCCAAGGGATAGCGAGCCTGTCAACTTGGAGCCTGTCAGAAAGAAGTGACCCAAATGAGGTGGGTACTGGAAACCTTGGCATGCATGGAATAATTGAAGGATAAATCAGTTCTCTTTAAGTGTTCAAAGAACTTACATGGAAGAGAAATTAGATTTGTCTGATTCTAGAAAGAAGAATCAAACCCAGGGAAAAATTGCAGGGAAGGTTTTACCTCAACACTAGAATTTTCTTATGACGGTGGAACATATAGTAGCTCAGGTGTGAGTTTCCAGTCCTTGAAGGTATGTAAGCAGAGACTCGACACTGACATCATGGGAATGGTGTCAGATCTAAGCAATGGGCTGTGTCGGGGTGGATCGATGGAGGGAAGGGGCAGACATGTGCTCTCTGAGATGTGAGAATTTGATATAAATTAGGCCTGTGTCCTACTGGCTCCAGTCACAAACCATCCCAGGACTGTGGCTGCCCTCTCACCTTGTCATTTCTCTTGCAGGAACACAAGAGCAGAGGCCACTTCTCTGCAAGAGAACTCTGAATCCCCGTATGAGGTGGGGACCTGGAACCCAGAAGTTACTCTGTCTTTGGAAGGGACCTTGAACTTAGAGGATATTCTCTACCCGGGGGACACAGGTGACTTTGATGTGGCTATGCATGTGGAAGAGACCGAGAAGCCTGAGGAGACGCTGCATATTGAGGAGACCAGGACGCCTGATGAGGCCCTGTATGTGGAGGAGCCAGGAAAGCCAGAGGAGATGCTATATGTGGAAGAGCCCGTGAAGCCGGGGAAGACTACAAGCCCAGAGCAGATGGTTTATGGGGGAGAGACAGTCCCGAGCGAGGAGAAACCTAACCCCGAGGAGAGCCTCAGAGCTGGGCCGAGTCCCAGCACAGAGGGGAGCCTGAGCACAGAGGACCTGGAATTGCTGGAGGGGCGTTTCCAGCAGTGTGTCCAAGCCGTGGCCCAGCTGGAAGAGGAGAGGGATCAGCTCATCCATGAGCTTGTGTTGCTCCGGGAACCAGCCCTGCAGGAGGTGCAACAGGTCCACCACGACATCCTGGCTGCCTACAAACTGCACGCCCAGGCAGAGCTGGAGAGGGATGGGCTGAGGGAGGAGATCCGACTGGTCAAGCAGAAGCTGTTCAAGGTGACGAAGGAATGTGTGTCCTACCAATATCAGCTGGAGTGCCGCCGGCAGGACGTGGCCCAGTTTGCCGAGTTCCGGGAAGTGCTGACCGCCCGGGCAGCCCAGCTCTCGGAGGAATTAGCCCAGCTTCAGGATGCCTATCAGAAGCAAAAGGAGCAGTTACGGCAACAACTAGAAGCACCTCCAAGCCAGAGGGATGGGCACTTTCTCCAGGAGAGCCGGCAGCTCTCTGCCCAGTTCGAGAACCTCATGGCAGAGAGCCGCCAGGGCCTGGAGCAGGAGTATGAGCCTCAGCTGCTGCGGCTCCTAGAGAAGAAAGAAGCTGCGGCCAGAGCTCTGCAGAAAACCCAGGCCGAGATCCAGGAGATGAAGGAGGCTCTGCGACCCCTGCAAGCAGAGGCCCTTCAGCTCCAGCTGCAAAACAGGAATCTGGAGGACCAGACCACCCTTGTGAGGCAAAAACGAGACGAGGATGTGCAGCAGTACAGGGTAGGCCCACTTGGCATGAAAGGAAGTACAGTCTTTTAGCCTGGGGAGGAAAAGGGGATCGGGGCCAAATGTCTTTGGGCTGAAGGATACTAGCATATGTAGGAAGATCAATTTGTTCCTTGGGCCATTCACTCACTTCTTTACGCCATTTTCCATTTCATTCATTCAGGCCTGTGCTAGGGCTGAAAGTTATCTTGCACTCTTAATTTACACAGCACTTTTACACCAATTATCTCACTTTATCTTCATTAATCCTCCAAGTCAACTATTATCATTTTTCATAGATGAGGAAACTGAGGCCCAGTGAGTTGGAGTAATTTGAACTCTAGTCTGACCACCCCCAAATATTTCAGTGCTCTTTCCACGTCACAAGTTTCCAATTCTAAGTGAATCACACTTGGGTTTATATAGAGCAGGAGGGAATGAGGCTAGGTAGTATTCATTCTCTCCCCTCTCCCATATTCACCCTCAAGCCCCACCTATCTGATCTCTGCCTTGAAGTTTTTCCAGTCTTAAAAAACTGGGATGAAATCTATAAATCTCAATTCCTCGTTTTCCTTTTTTGTGCATTTGTCACCATTTCACTTGTATTCAAGCTATTTCTGATCGTGAGCCAGTTCTAATCCCTTTTAGAACAGAGTGGGAGATGAACAGTAAGTGCATAAACAAGTCTCTCTCCCCCACAGACTGTGAGCTTTCGGAAGGTAGGGAGTATGTTTTACTTATCTCTGCCACCAGGCTCAGAGTATGCATCAGTTAAGCGCTGACTTAAGAGCTGCTGGGTACCATGAGAAGACCACAGTGTGGTGCTTTTCAGAGCAGTACTTTTGTCTTTTGGAACCCCCCTTTTTTGGATGAACTTAATCTTATGCCCTGCCAGAGATTTTGACGTATCCTTAAGGGAACATGTCCTCTGTTGAAAATGGCTGCATTTACTTCACTGAAGATTTTGTCAAGCTTTCTGTAGTTGTATTATGAAAACGGTGGGGTTTTTTGGTCATAATATTGAACGTTTTCAAACTATACATATATGCACTCCCGTCACTCACCCAACGCTGCCCGCCGCCTTCACTGCACTGCTTTTTTACTGGGTCACAATCTAGTGAAAGGGCACTAATTATCTTTGCATAAACAAATACTAACCTTAACAGCTTACACTCAATCAAATGTTACATTAACAATTGTAACCCAGGGTAGGAAGTAATGTGTTTTAAGAGAGGTACAAGTAAGAATGCTATGGGATAATAGTCGTGGATTAAATCAGAGAACCCATAACGGAAGACAATGTTATTTGAGCTAAGTGTTGAAGTATAGGTAAGATCTAGAGCAGTGCTGTCCAACAGAAATATAACGCAAGCCACATATATAATTTGAAATTTTCTAATAACCACATAAAAAGAGAAATAGGTGAAGGTAATTTAAATATATTTTATTTAATCTAATAGATCTAAAATATAATCTGTAACTTGGCTGCATGTGAAAGGTGAAAAACTGAGAGGTGAGTTGAACCTGTAAAGGTAAATCAGGGCAGATCACATTGGATTTTGAAATCCAAACTAGGGAGTTTGGACTTTATTCAGTGGTCAGTTGCATCCATAAAGGTTTTTTTATTTTTAAGAGCTTCTTTTTATTTTATTATTTATTCATTAAAATTTTTTTTTGGCTGTGTTGGGTCTTCGTTGCTGTGCGTGGGCTTTCTCTAGTTGTGTTGAGCAGGGGCTACTCTTTGTTGCGGTGCGCGCAGGCTTTTCATTGTGGTGGCTTCTCTTGTTGCAGAGTGTGGGCTCTAGGCGCGCAGGCTTCAGTAGTTGTGGCACACAGGCTCAGTAGTTGTGGCACAAGGGCTTAGTTGATCCGCCGCATGTGGGATCTTCCCGGACCAGGGCTTGAACCCGTGTCCCCTGCATTGGCAGGCAGATTCTTAACCACTGCGCCACCAGGGAAGTCCCCATAAAGGTATTTAATCAAGGGATTAACATGATCGTTGCTCTCCTTTTAGAAACAGTATTGGTGGCAGTGTGTAAAATGGGCTAGAGACCCAAAGGCAAGGAGACTAATTAGGAAGCTACCATTGGTAAAAGGAAACAATGGTAGCAGGAATAAAAGGAAGGGGAAGGATACAAGAACAAATGTAGAATAAACTTGGCTACAGAATGAGTGGGGCAGAGAGGTGAGAAGTCAAAGAGGATACTTAGATTTCAGGCAAGACTAACTAGGATGGTGGTGCTCTAAGTAAGGAATCCTCAGGATTAGAATTTTCTGACATAGTACTAGAGTTGTAGAACTTTTTCCCCAGTGATTTTCGTCACTGTACTGGATTTGTTTCAGATTTGATGATCTGTGCACCTTTCCAAAGATCATTCTATAGAAAACAATCTTGATGGGTGTCTCCTATCGCCATACCATAATTAGAGTAGGAATAAAGGTATGAAAGAGCTAATTCTTCTCTTTCTTTTCTTTTTTAAAAATTTGTTTATTTTAGGCCGCGTTGGGTCTTCGTTGCCGTGCGCGGGCTTCCTCTAGTTGCGGCGAGCACAGGCTACTCTTCGTAGCAGTGCGCGGACTTCTCACTGCAGTGGCTTCTCTTGTTGTGGAGCACACACACGTGGGCTTCAGTAGTTGTGGCTCACGGGCTCTAGAGTGCAGGCTCAGTAGTTGTGGCGCACAGCCTTAGTTGCTCTGCGGCATGTGGGACCTTCCCGGACCAGGGCTCAAACCCATATCTCCTGCATTGGCAGGCAGATTCTTAACCACTGCGCCACCAGGGAAGTCCCAATTCTTCTTTCTGAAATGGCTTCTTCCTAAACTGTTTGCCAAAGGCCATGTATGGCATCTGATTACTTTTCAAGGGTACGCTTCACTCTTATGACTATAAACTTTGCCTCTTTCATCACCATCATCCATTCATTTGACAAATATCTTCTAAGTGCCTATTTTCTATGGGCCAGGCAATGAGCTATGTGCTGGGAAGGGATGAGACGCTGTGGTGTAGGGTGGAGGTGGGGGGCAGCCCCTGTCCTCAAAAAGTTGATAGTCCAATTAAAATATAATAATAATAATAAATAAAATGAACAAAAAATACAAAAAATAAAAATTAAACAGAAAAAGAAAAGAAGAAATAAAAGTTTATAGTCCAGGAAGGATGCAAGATAAAATTTCATAAAATCTAATACACTTGATCGTAAGATGCATCCTGATCAAAGTAAGATGTTAAAGTGTGAGTTTTAGAATCAATGAAATAATTAATATGCTTCAGTGTGATAGACAATGTAATAGTTGTAGGAATAAAGCATTGTACTGAAGCAGGTATAATTACACCTGGGGAGATAAGGGGGAAATTTCATTAGAGGATTAACAATAGCTAGCATGTACGTGAAGTTCTTTACATGTAAATAATTCATTTAATTCTTACATCTGAGATAGGTATAACTGCTGTCACCATTTGAAAAACAAGAAAACAGGTGAGTCAGAGAAGTCATCTGTCCAGGGTTACACGGCTAGGAAGTGATGAAGGAAGGATGTAACCCTGTGCCATCTAGTTCAAGTCCACACTCAACTACTACAGGGTGTTTGAGCTGAGCCTTAAAGAATGAATTCACTGTGTAGACAAGGGAAGGGTATTCTAGGCAGAGGGAACAGCTTATACAAAAGCATGAAAACACAGACGTTGTTATGGGAAGTGAGAAGCTCAGTGTGGCTGGAACATAAGGAATGTGAGAAATAGAGAGATGAGGCTGGAGAGGTAGATTGGGACCAGATTGCAAAGGGCTTTATGTATTCTTTTTTTTTTGCGGTACGCGGGCCTCTCACTGTTGTGGCCTCTCCCGTTGCGGAGCACAGGCTCCGGACGCGCAGGCTCAGCGGCCATGGCTCACGGGCCCAGCCGCTCCGCGGCATGGGGGATTTTCCTGGACCGGGGCACGAACCCGTGTCCCCTGCATTGGCAGGCCGACTCTCAACCACTGCGCCACCAGGGAAGCCTGGCTTTATGTATTCTTTAGGTCAGTGGTTTTCCTAAAAAGGTTTTCTTCAAAGCCACAGACCCTTTCCCCAAAACAATTTTATATGGAATGCCAACATGTAAAACAAGTAAAAGTAGAGCTACTTTCTAACTAAAGAGTGACAAGGTCACTCCAGCATGGCCTCCTCCTGTGGTTTCCTGGAAAACAGTTTGAAGACCATTTAAGAGCCTATCTATTATCTATCTATCTATTATCTACCTATCATCTACCTTTCATCTATTTATCTATCATCTATCTATCTACCTATCATCTATCATTTGTCTACCTATCATCTATCAATCTATCTATCTATCATCTATCTATCTTTCATCTATCATCTATCTTTCATCTATCATCTACTTATCATCTACCTATCATCTATCTATTATCTATCTATCATCTATGTCTACTTTTATATCTATCTATATGAAGGCAATAAAGCAATTAAGAGTATGAGCTGTAAGTCAGTGGCAAATCCTGGCTCTACCACTTACTAACTGGGAAACTTTGGACAAATGACTTAACCTCTGTGGTTCAGCTTCCTCACATGTAAAATGGGATTAATAGGGCTGTTGCAAGGAATGAACTAGTTAATATCTGTAAAGTGCTGCTAATGGTGCCTGCCACGTAGTTACGTACTCTAAGTGGCAGTGTGGAGGGTAGATTGAAAGAGCCTGGAAACACCACTTAGAGGAGAGATGAGAGATGTGAAGTTAAATGGGTAGCATTTGGTGACTGGTTGCAGTGGGCAGGGTGAGGAATTTGCTGAGAATGATCTCAAAGTTTTTAGCTTGAAATTGGTAGACTTCTAATGCCAAAAGATAGAATATGCTTACTATCTGCATGCTTCACTTCAATAAGCATTATGTGTAGGGTGCCGGACATACTAAGAACCAGGAACCTACAATCTGGTTGGGAGTTAGACATGAATAAAAAAAAAATTCAATATAAGGGAACAGATGCTATCTAGGTGACAGAAATGGCAGGAGTAAAGGCACAGAAATCTGACTTGGTCAGACTAGAGCAGCACTCTCCAACAGAAGTATCATGCAAGCCACAGATGTCATTTAAAAATTTCTAGGGGGGGGCTTCCCTGGTGGCGTGGTGGTTGAGAGTCTGCCTGCCGATGCAGGGGACGCGGGTTCGTGCCCCGGTCCGGGAAGATCCCACATGCTGCGGACAGGCTGGGCCCATGAGCCATGGCTGCTGAGCCTGCGCGTCGGAGCCTGTGCTCCGCAATGGGAGAGGCCACAACAGTGAGAGGCCCGTGTACCGCAAAAAAAAAAAAAAAAAAAAAAAAAAAAAAAAAAATTATAAAAAAAAAAAAAAATTTCTAGGGGAACTTCCCTAGTGGTCCAGTGGTTAAGCCTCTGCGTTTCCAATGCAGGGGGCATGGGTTCAATCTCTGGCTGAGGAACTAAGATCCCACACGCCACACAGCGTGGCCAAAAAAAGAAAAAAAATTCTAGTAGCCACATTAAAAAAAAATTAAGAAACAGGTGAAAATAATACATTTAACCCAGCATAGCAAAAATATTACCACTATAATATGTAATCAACATTAAAATTTGATATATATATATATATATACACACACATATATATATATTTGGTGTCAAATCTTAGAAATCTGCTATGTATCTTACACTCACAGCACATCGCAGTTCAGACTAGCCATATTTCAAGTACTCAATAGCTACATGTGGCTAGTGACTTCCATACTGGACAGTGCAGACTACAGAAATAATGGAGGTTCTAGTTAGAAGTAAGGGTCCAACTAGCAGGAGGCTGAATGCCAGACTAAAGAAAATGGAAAGCCTATGAAAGATTGAGATGATAAAGCAGGTTTGTTTTGTTTTGTTGTTTTAGTTTTTTTTTTGGTCACGCCATGCGGCGTGTGGGATCTTAGCTCCCCAACCAGGGATCGAACCCGTGCCCCCTGCAGTGGAAGCATGGAGTCTTAACCCCTGGACCGCCAGGGAAGTCCCAATAAAGCAGTTTTTAAAGTTAACCCAGTGGTGCTACACAGGATTAAGAATGGAGATTGTCCTTAATTTCTGTCACTGTACAATACTTCCTTCATTCTGTGACAGTTTCTCCCTGTCAAGAGCTTATCAGTGATGGTGCAGACAGCCTTCACAAGCAGGTCTTTTGTATATCCAGCAAACAACAGGTTTGCTAGATGGTGAGGCTTGGGAAACTGGGGCACAGAGGTATGCAGATGCTTTTCTTTAGATAACATGCTCTTAGATCATAAGGCTACATCTCTGTGTGGTATCAAAGCATGGCTAGGCACTAAAAAAAAGACCTTTGACAATGCTGATGAAAGTTGAGATTCAGCCAGAGTATCAAAACACTGCAGATTAACAGGCCACAAGTATATCAAGGGTGACTCAGTGAACAAATTATTTAGATCCTTCTAATGACAGTATGCACCTAAACTGGATTCCTATTGTATTATTCTTCAAAATCTGAGGTAAAGTCATTGCTCCTTAAAGATGTGCCTTCCAATTTCAATGCTCCCTTCCCTTCCCAGCTACCCCATGGATCCTGAGGATCCATGTCAGCTAGCAACCAAGGCACAGACTGATTTGCTGACATCTTCATTCCTCAGGCATTAATCCTAGGCAGACACAATTTACAGAATGCATCCTGCCTGGTTTTGGCAGAATGGGAAATAGTTATCTGAAGACCCCTGAGGGCCTCCAGGGCATAGCACCTTCATCTTCCAACTTTAGAACGAATTGTCCTGATGTAATAAGCAAAGGATATAGGAAATTAACAACTCTGATACCCTCACTAATAAAGCATCTATCTGCATGCCATGTTGTGGTAAGTACTAAGTAAAGATATCTCTGACTTCAAGGAGATTCAAATATAATATTCAAGAATAATTGCTTAGGGCTTCCCTGGTGGCGCAGTGGTTGAGAGTCCACCTGCCGATGCAGGGGACGCTGGTTCATGCCCCGGTCCGGGAAGATCCCACAGGCCACGGAGCGGCTGGGCCCGTGAGCCATGGCCGCTGAGCCTGTGCATCTGGAGCCTGTGCTCTGCAGTGGGAGAGGCCGCAACAGTGAGAAGCCCGCGTACTGCAAAAAAAATAAAAAATAAATAAATGTAGTGATTTAAAAAAAAAAAAAAGAATAATTGCTTACACAAAGACTTGGTTTCTTTCAACTTAAATTGCTGAAGTTGTTGGGCATTATAAAGACTACTGATTATTAACGGAAACAAACTTGTACATAGAGCAAGGGGTCTATAAAATTCTTAGTTCACCACTAGATAATCAAAATCCTCCCCGACACTTTAACTTATTTTTGGCTGCGTTGGGTCTTCGTTGCTGACTTCGTTGCTGGCTTTCTCTAGTTGCAGAGTGGGGGCTACTCTTCATTGCGGTGTGCAGGCTTATTGTGGTGGCTTCTCTTGTTGCGGAGCACGGGCTCTAGGCGCACAGGCTCAGTAGTTGTGGCTCGCGGGCTCTGGAGTGCAGGCTCAGTAGTTGTGGCGCACAGGCTTAGTGGCTCCGTGGCAAGTGGGATCTTCCCGGACCAGGGCAGGCATATTCTCAACCACTGCGCCACCAGGGAAGCCCCCGACACTTCTTAAAATTGGGAAACGAAAAAGTCCCTCTGAAAATCTGTCCACCCTTTGCAGGATTTTAAGATGTAAGCTGTGGTTAACAGACAAGACTCCTTTCAGAACAGTATCACTGTCAAAAACAGTATCACTGTCAAAACACAAATTCTCTGAATCGATTTCTCAACGTCAATACTGCTATGGAGATTAAACAATGTGTAAGGAAATATACTATTATGGACAATGTCAGGTTTTTGTTGTTTGGTGCATTAGAAATGTTCTTGGCCCTCACGCAGGAACAGCTGGAGGAAATGGAAGAACAACAGAGGCAGCTAAGAAGCGGGGTGCAACTCCAGCAACAGAAGAACAAAGAGATGGAGCAGCTAAAGATCAGCCTTGCTGAAGAGCTCGCAACATACAAGTCAGTTTTTGCTGCTACCCAAATCTCAACTAACAAAGGCTGAGGGAATGGTGGGGAGGGCAGATGTTGCTCAGGAGAAATTTCTCTTGACAGTGAAAAGCAAAAAAAAAAAAAAGAAAACTGGGGGAAAATTTTCAAATTATGCTCATCCGTGAACAGATGGAAAATGGCTCTTTTTTTTTAAACGCCTATGCTACCCAAGAGCCTGGAACAGGCTAATGCTCCCACTTCTGAGGCAGGTGGAATCCAGACACAGCCGCAAGGTGATCCTTGTAGGTTATAAGAGCAGTGTCTGCATTGTTGCTGCTTTCCTAACCTAACAAGACTAGTGCCTTAAAAAAAGATTGTGTGTCTAATGACAAGTCCGTCATTTAGGGATAACACATACTTCCAGGTTGCCTGGTTCAAGCATTCAGGCTTCATTTGGAATGTTTCAATTTCTAGTAGGACTTAAAATATGTCCTGATTATTATCAGGAAATCCAGAACAGGATAAAACATCTAGGCTCTGTGCATTCTTACTTTCCTCACCCTACGTGACCCCATCTGCTATTCATAAAGTTTCCTTAGAATAGCAGAGAAGGCAGTTAGGGTACCTAATTCAAACTATGACTAAGGAGGCCAAGAAGGCTAAATTAATCTGTTAACAGTCATTTACAAAGCTGAAGAGGGTGCTGTTTGTAGACTAAAGGACATGATTATTGCTTAATTTGTGAAACAAGCAACACACCTATCCATTAAGTTCTTTACATACCAATATGTCCTCACATTCTTTATAAAGTGCTAGATTCTCTTGGATAAAGAAACTAAGGATTAAAAAAGATCAAGTTGGATACTACATAAATATCCATAAATTCTTATTAATTTCCTTGTTAATCCTACATTTTGTATACAAATTCACAAATAACGATTATTACTGATGCTTTTCCTAAATTACTAGGATTTTTTTTTCTTTGGCCAGCCTGCATGGCTTGCAGTTCCCCCATCAGGGATTGAACCTCGGGCCACAGCAGCAAAAGCGCTGAATCCTAACCACCAGACCATCAGGGAACTCCCATACTAGGATTTTCTTTTACCATGTTTCATCCAGGAATAACTGACTATGCCCATTGTTTGGGAGATTACTAGAACCTTGTAACCGAAGAAAATGATCTGCTAAACACCTTTGTGTGAATAAGATGAAAAGTACATGGAAAAGACAATGATTAATCCAAAGAATCGAAATTACAGAATTTCAGGCCTTGTAATACCTGTGTGTAAAGTTAACGTGGGCAGAAAAACTTTAGCTAGCCCCTCCCAAAGTCATCCTTGATTAGATGCAAAACACACTTTAGCAATCTCTCCTCAATGTGGCCTGCACTAAGCTTCAGAAATTCATTATTAAAAACTTTATACTGGGAATTCCCTGGTGGTCCAGTTAGGACTCAGCGCTTTCACTGCTGTGGGCACAGGTTCAATCCCTGGTCAGGGAACTAAGATCCCACAAGCCATGCAGCACACCCAAACAAAAAACCCCCCAAAAACAAAAAACCCCACAAAAACTTTATACTGTATTATTTCAAGTTGCAGAAAGTTTAAACTTATCCTTTTTTCTCTCAATCTTACAGGGGCTGTTTAGAAACATATGGCCGAATCTGTAACCAAGAAACAACAACAAAAAACTTCTTAGCAAAGGATCACTGAGTACCTTTGGACATACTTTTTTCTAAACAGAGAAGGGAGGGCCAGGGATTTGGCAAGCAGTTCACTCTGGGAAAGTTACAAATACTGGCTGACCTGTTTAAAAAGATTCTAGGGCTGGCTGGAGGCAGAATACTATCAGTCAACTCTTAGCTGGATTCTGTTTCATAGGCTGCTGGTACTGATTTCAATGCACTGAGAAATGGAAAAATAAGTCTCCTGTCACCCATCAGCAACCCTCCACACGCACAAAGTAAAGGAAGAATGTATGGACACACCTTGCTGTATTGTGAAGAATGTATCTTACCTTCTGTTGACCCAAAAGTTTTTCAGGAACACAGGTGGAGTCAGAAAGGCAGACGATTTTCCTTATATTCAAGTTGACCCCTGAACAATGTGGCGGTTAATCTGCACATAACTTAGTTGGCCCTCGGTATCCGAGGTTCCTCCACATCCACGGACTCCACCAACCACTGCAGGTATAGTACTGTGGTATTTACTATTGAACAGTATGTTGTAAGTGGACCTATGCAGTTCAAACCCACGTTGTTCAAGGGTCAACTGTACATGGGTTTACAATTTGAATTCTTTTGTGCCATGAATGTTAGACTTTAATTGAATTCCTTTACAAAGTTTACTTTTCTTTAAGTCTGTGCTGATTCATGTAGATTTACTCTTGTGTCATGGTAATTTTCACTATACTCTAAAAGAACTACTGGGCTTCCCTGGTGGCACAGTGGTTGAGAGTCCGCCTGCCAATGCAGGGGACGCGGGTTCGTGTGCCGGTCCGGGAAGATCCCACATGCCGCGGAGCGGCTGGGCCCGTGAGCCATGGCCGCTGAGCCTGCGCGTCCGGAGCCTGTGCTCCGCAACGGGAGAGGCCACAACAGTGAGAGGCCCGCGTACCGCCAAAAAAAAAAAAGAACTACTGACTTAGAAAAAAGAACCAATCCAGATTTCCCCAAAGATGAGTTTGATTTTTCACCTCATGAAAATGATTCTGGGTCAGAGTGATCTACTACGTTAAATTGGGTGATTGAAGAACCCGACATTTTACCTGGTTATGGCACTTGGCTTTCAAGAGCCTATTTTTCTAACCTCTAAGTACAGGCCCCAGTGAAAAAAATACTGGGGAGATTCAACCTCTCTATGAGAAAAGGTCAAACACCTTTTCCAAATTTAAATTTTGCCTTAAATTCTCTCTGCCACACTGCCTCTGACATTCTTGAAAGTTCACGTAGTTCTCCAGAGATAGACTTCAAAAAGATGTTATTTTATCAAAGACTAATCTGTGTACCTCTGATTCAGCATTTTATGTCTTTCACTTCCCCCGGGAAGGAGTAAAGCTCTTTGCTATACCTCTGGGTCTATTATATTTAATTCTGCTCTTGGTAGTCAAAGACCATAGAAAATAACTGTCACCTGAACAACTCTTCTAGACACCAGAGACTGGTGTTTGATGGATATTATATTAAATAAAACCCATCAGCGTGGGATTATGTAGAAAAGCAATTTATTCCATTATAAGCACTTACACAGTTAGTCATGGAGAGTAACAGGCCTGCTGGTGAAACAGGTCACCCAAAATAGAGATGGTATCAAACTAGTGGTCAAGGACTAACTCCTTAAAAAAAAAAAAAAAAAAGCAACTCTTATCCAGGATTAATTTAATTTTAAAAACAAATACAAGCTATTGATTCGCTCTTCTCAATTTAACTGGACAGTCTACCTGTGGTATAACTGTCAGGTAAAAACATACATCTTTACAACTTGGTGGTCCCAAGTTTTTTTTTTTTTTTTTTTTTTTTTAAACCATTTCACAGAAAGGAAAGAAATAATATGAAAACAGCTCAAGAAATACACTAACAAGCAAAAATATATGGGGAAAGAGGAACACATTGTTTTGACTTAACTGAAGAAACTGAGAGGAGACTGGTCTGTGTAAGAAAATGTGTATCCTGGCAAGTTCCGTGTGAAGATTTTAGAGCAGGAATTTATATGACTTGAATCTCCCCTATTTCCTGAATAAAAATGACATCTTGTAGTATTTATACTTCATGGCTCAGACACCTACCTCACTTGGCTCTATTTCTTACTCACTCTAGCATTTACTTAAATGAGTCAGAAAAACTTGGGGATATAGCATAAGAAGAAAAATAACCACTCACAATATTCCCCTTTTTGTGGCTACTTTAGACCTCTGTTACTAGAAAATTCCTGAAGAAAATTTAAATATAAGTCTGTGGCTTTCCTGAATCAAGAAGCCCCCAGTTAATATTTAGAAAACACCTTCTGTTTGGACTAATAACATTGTTGATAGAACTTATTATAGAGGGATAACCAAAGTCTGTGTCTCAAAACCAGTGTTAAATCAATCTCAGGGTTGAGAAGAAAAGGGGAGTCTAAAATCACAAGAAGTGCAGACATTCTCTAGGATCCTTGTCCTTCTGGATCCACGCTTCCTTCAGGGTCTTCGTCATTATAAATGTTCTCTGCCTGCCAAAAACAAGAAAAAGGATATTGAGTAAACATGAAAGTTACTTCTTGAAGTTAAAGTTTCAAATAGACGAGGCCAGGGAGACAGACTGTGGGGCATATACTCTGTTTTAACTATTCAACTCTGCAGTTGTTGGATGAAAGTAGCCACAGACAACCTGCAAATGGGTAAGTATAGTTGCATGCCAAATAAAACAGGCGGCTGGCCACAGGCCAACCCCCCGGATTAGGATAGTCCCTAAAAACTTAAGTATGGTTACCATTTGTCTTGATAATCAACCTTGAGTCTTTTAATCAGACAATTATTCGTAACAGTCAAAAAGTAAAAACAACACAAATGTCCATCAACTGATAAATGGACAAATAAAATGATATGTCCATACAATGGAGTATTATTTGGCAATAAAAAAAGTCAGTCACATATTGTATGATTTCATTTATATTAAATGTGCAGAATAGGCAAATCCATACAGAAAGTAGATTAATGGTTGCCTAGTACTGGGTGGACTGGAGGCAAATGGGAGGGATGGCTACTGGGTGTGGGGTTTCTTTCTGGGGTAACTGACTGTAGTGATGGTTGCACAATTCTGTGACTGTACTGCAAAACCCATGTTCTAAATCTCAATTTATAAATATTTTAAAAAGAGAAACTGTTCTTGCATAAAATAAACTCTACTTGTACGACTTGATGAAATACCCATATCCAAGAGCATCTTAAACACAGATACCACTTTCACTTGGGCAAAACGTACTGTTCTTAGTATCTCCTATGCACTTAGTATCACTAGGGTAGGTGCTACAGAGGATGGGATAGTCTTAGCTTTCAATCTGACTACAGGGACAAACAATGTATACAATTATGTGAGTAGTCTGACAACAAAAGTGTGGTATCTTCTTCCCTGACACCAATGGGGTGTCCAACAACTCAGTTCAATCCTGATGTTGACCACCTGGAGGTAGTACTGTGACCAAGGGCTCAACCCCACAAGACTACCCTCACTTCAGCAGAGGCCAGTGTCAAGCCCTGAGTGCCCAGGCTACCCAAGTACTCCTGCCCAACTTGGCTATAAATTTTCTCGCAGCCACCCCCGCCCCCCAGGTTTGATGATTTGCTGGAATGATTCACAGAACTCAGGAAAGCGCTCTACTGGTTTATTATAAAGAGTATAACTCAGGAATGGCCAAATGGAAGAGATGCACAGGGCAAGGTGGGGATGGAGCACAGAGCTTCCATACCCTTTCTGGTGGCATGGATATATTCACCAACCCAGAAGCTCATGAAATCAAAAGCTTTTTATGGAGCTTTCCCAAGAGTTTTTATAGGGTCCCCCTTAAGTTACCGCCTTAGCCTAAACTCAGGTGAGGCCAAAAGCAGCTACTTATAAATAGCAATAGAGACTCCTACCACTCAGGAAATCCCAAGGGTTTTAGGAACTCTGTGCCAGGAACCTGGACAAAGACCAAATGCTTACTACTTATTATATCACAATAATTCTTAAAAACAAAACAAAACAACCCCCCCCCCCCACAAACGGAGTAAAGTAACAACCTTGACTGGAGGTGATGGCCTTGAAGGTGATGTAGCTTAATCTCCTACAACATTCCCATGACAACCACTAAAATACCTCTCACTGACAGACTATCTAAGGCAGCCCATTTCACTTTCTTGTTAGAACTCTAATTTTTTATATTAATTTTGTGTGGGTGTGTTACAAGGAAAAGGATAAAGTGGATTTTCTGTTAATACATGAAACAAATCCTTATTATAAAAAATTATAATACAGAAAGGTATAAAGAAGAAAACAAGAATTCTCTAAACATACCAACCACATTTTGGCAAATAGCCTTCTATTAAACAGTTACATATAATTAAACATAACACTAGATACCCAAATTTTAATAAGAGGGATTCTATCATGCTGTTCTATAATTTGCTTTTTTCCTACTTATTAGCATATCATGAATAGCTTATAAAACTAAGTATACTTCATTCTGATACATAATATTCCAAAGTATTGATCCAGTATATAATGTGTTAATCTCATAGGCCACAAATACTCCCATTTTATTGCTTTATTTTTGATTAATAGGGTTATTCCGTAAGAAAGTTCTGAATATCAAAAACTTTTTTCCTCATGTTGAGCCAAAAACTCACCTCTGGAGCTTCTTCCTGGCTCTAGATCTACTCTGAGACACCAAAAGTTTCTTTTGAATTATTTTCATTTATTAGGCTACTGTCACTTAAAAGTCATGCAGTTGTTTTGTAAATTGTGGTAAAAGACACATAACAAAATCTACCATCATAACCATTTTTAACTGTACAGTTCAGGGGCATTAAGTCCATTCACACTGTGTGCAGCTATCACCACCATCCATCTCCAGAAGGCAACTGTTTCTTGTATTGCTATATATCAGACATTACAGTTGCTTTTATTAAATTTCAAGTGCTCTGAAAATTCAAAGAAGGGTGATCACCTTCAATTGGGGTATAAAGGCAGGGAATGTTTTTGACATCTAGGTAAGTTTCATGAAGAAATGGTATTCTTTGATGCTGTGACATTGCAGTAGGAACTGTGCTAGGCATGTTCATAAGTAATTTCAAGGGAATGATCATTCCTAAAGATTCGACTGCTAGCAAAGAGGGAAAAACAGGAGGCAAGCTAACAATTAGGAGGTTACTGCAATAGCCCAGCAAGTAGTAATGAGAACCTGACCAAAAAACTAGGTGTGGAATACAAACAGGAAAGTTGGTTATATCTGTTTGTAAGATGAGTAAAGACAGGAGAAGCATTGCAGAGATCAACAATATAAAATCTGGTAAGTGAACCGCACCTAGAGGTGATCGGACAATAGAGGAAGACCTGAGTTTTCAAATCTAGTGAGCTGGGGAGACACTGAAGCCATATAGAAAACAAAAAGTCAGGAGGTAAGGGGAGTAAGGAAAGGAAGGAGAAAAGAAAAGATTAGTTTTGTTAAGTTCGAGATACCAGTGAGACAACTTGATAAAGTTAAAGGGTAGGCAGCTGAAAATGATAATGCGCAGGCAAGTCACACTCGGGAGTAAACTGAACAGAGCTGCCAGTTGTACTGATGGAGTATATAAATATGAAGTGATACTAGGTCTCATTTATCTAAACTCGCCCAAATAAAGAAACACTTACCATTTGCCAAACTTGCATGATATTGTCTTCTGATACAGAACAAATCACCCAAGGTTCATTGGGATTCCAGGAGAAATCAGATATCTTGGCAGTGTGACCACCATGAATAAACTGAAAGAGGAAGGAAAACAGATGAAAAGCAGACAGA